CGGTCTGAAGCTAACTAACTCTGTCTGAAGCTAACTAACTCTGTCTGAAGCTAACTAACTCTGTCTGAAGCTAACTAACTCTGTCTGAAGCTAACTAACTCTGTCTGAAGCTAACTAACTCTGTCTGAAGCTAACCGACTCGTTCTGAGTTCAGACTTCAAAGTAGAGCTGGGCGATATGACCCAAATATTATATCACGGTATTTTTCTACAATTACACTGGTTTCACGGTATTTTGACAGTATTTTTTTTCATCACWGCTCAGCTGATAATAAAATGTACAAATGTTGCTAAWTGACTTTTTTCTTTTATTGTACCTCTGTCTGTCGTTGTTTCCCTCCTCTTGTACGTCTTTTCTTCTCTGCCTGGTTGTAAACAGTAATCATGTATTTAGGACCGATCGTGAAGGATTGAGAACAGATCATCGAGTCGTTGTGTGTTAATAAAACTTAGTCAACTCAGCTCTACTACAGAACTACTTCCCCCCGGCTTTTCACAATAGAAGCACTTTAAAGTCTCCATTATAACGTTGTGTGTTTAAATCTAAGTGTGCACKWCACTGAAGAGGTGTTTACTACGTTCAGCGATGGTGAAAACGGGATTTTTTTTTTCTTCAGTCAGCTAAAACACCACCGACCAAGTTAGTCCAACAAGCTGCTCCAACAATAACAATAGCATGCTAATGCACATAGCGGTGTTGCGAGGAAAAGTGTCCCCCGGGAAACGGTTCACTGGTGGCTGTGACGAAACTTTCTGAACGTTTTCAGGCTTTTTACACTGGTATGTCCGGTATTCAGAAAATTCATATCTTAACAAAAATAAAAAAAACTGTTTTCATTACAAAACGGTRTACCGCCCAGCACTCCCTCAAAGGTTCATCTCTCTCAAACTGGTTCCAGGTCTGAAGYGGGTCGAAGGATCTAAAGGACTAAATGTTAATATTGACCAAAGTTCTGGTGCTGCTGTTTGCTGCTGGATGTGAACAAAGAGCCACTCCTTCAGCTGCTCCCTGCAGGAGGATGTTACAGGAAGTGTGTGCAGCTCTCATGTTGACTTTAGTCTAACCTTTGATTTCATCAGCCTGAAGAAATCTGTCCGATAACAGACAGAACGCTTGTTTTACTAAGATTAGATCTTAGATTTTAATGTTTATTGTCTTGATAGCAACACTTCCAGCTGGTGTCGGCTGAGTTTTCACATCTTTCTGCTTTTCTACAAGAGTTCCAGTTAAAATGGCTGTCAGATGAATTTCAGCTGTTAGGGTGACAGATCCAGAGTTCTGCAGAGGTTTCATTCTTGTGATTTCTTCAGGGATCGTTGGGGAGTCGGACGAGAACGGAGAGGAACATTACCTGTGGACGTACAAGAAGCTGGAGATCGGTTATAAYGGCAACAGGATCGTTGATGTGAATCTGACAAGTGAAGGAAAAGTCAAACTCATGTCCAACACCAAGATTCCCATGTCGTACTCTGTGAGTCCTCAGAGGTTCTTTATAAAACCTACGGATCATTTCCAGCTCGCAGGACTAAAACAACACAAACATTAATGTTTTTGTTTGTTTTTCAGGTGAAATGGAAGAAGTCTGATGTGAAGTTTGAGGACAGGTTTGAYAAATACCTCGATCCGTCCTTCTTTCAGCACAGAGTGAGTCGAACTATTCAATTAATCTTTATTCACCACACTTTCACAAGGTCTGATTAAAGTAGACAGGATGTAGATGAGATGACTCTGCCCACTTTCATACAACCTGAGGTGAAGACTCCTCCCACAAATGAGTCATTGAGCCATCCTGGTCAGAACCTGAAAGTTTCACAACAAAATGAAAGTTTGACACGAAGCAACCTGTCAAAATAAAAGTCAGTGGACTGCTGGATTGAACTGCTTATATCTGAGATTTTTTTTATGCAGGCCGATAAAATCTGATACTCGTTTTTTGGTTGATATCTGACCGATATCAGTAGTGGATCGGGACACCCCTACCACTGACGGTTAGTTTTTTCTAGATGTTTCACAAAATCCACTTTTCTATTTTCTTCTCAGTCATCCAGGTCACAATYAATCCAAGAAAGAAAAGAAGAAAAGTTTTTTGAAGCTTTCTTGAAAAGTTTGACCTGAGAAACCTCAAAACATCTCGAGCTTCAGAATAAAAGTCCAGTTTTGTGTTTTAACTGAACGGTCTGTATTTCCTGCAGCGAGGGGGCGTGTCCCCTGCTGTTCAGTATTTATTGCTGATTGGCTTGTTGCTGATGAGCCTACTCTTGATTGACAGGTTGTCGTGTCAGTTCACCTCAGCAGGAACTCAGTTTTTTATATCTTTGTGCAACATGAGAATAAAACCAGATTTTTATCATAAACAAATAAATTTATGTTCAAACGTAAAATAATTTGTTGCTTTGTTTAATTGTTTGTTTTCAGATCCACTGGTTCTCCATCTTCAACTCCTTCATGATGGTGATTTTCCTKGTGGGTCTGGTCTCCATGATCCTGATGAGAACCTTGAGGAAAGATTACGCTCGATACAGTAAAGAGGAGGAAATGGACGACATGGTTGGTTTTTATTGACTCAACTGGTGACCAGTCTTGTATAAAGTACTCAAAGTGATACTTGAGTAAAAGTACAAGCATAATATAATAAAATTACTTCGGTAAAGTTAAAGTCTCCTTAAGTAAAAGTATTGAGTAAAATAAGCACTTAGATTTTCCAAAATACTTTCATTGGGAGGTGAATTCTCCAAAAAATATTCATTTTTAAAAACATGCGGCTGTGATGGATTGTGTAAAAAATTAATACATCAGAGTGTCATATTTATACTTTTCATCCAACTACAATTAAATTCACTATCTAGGAGGCACAATTTATATGGATAGTATTTATTTTTTACAATAACAAGCTGGAGTGAAAACAAGCAAAAATGAAATAAAAGTAACGACTTTCTACTTTTTGCCTTTTTTAAAAAAATGTAAGGAGTATAAAGTACAGAAAATTGTGTG